TGAGAGGGGCGGCTCCAGCATCCTTCAGAGTCCCTGAGCGTATGCATACATGGGGGACACGAGGCCGCAGGGGAACCGGTCGTATGGTGTTTACGGTGCGACAATACGGTCCCTCCAGATAATCGGTGGGACATAGTAAATAGAGAGTAAATAACAGTATGCACATTACTCACAGCAGTGTTTGAGCAGAGAGTTTGCTCAGAATGAAGCGTAGGCGCCTCGTCATTGAAGTCGTCGTGCGTCCCGGAGCCGATGGAGGGCGCCCCTCCGACAGGCGCTGGAACAAGTGCCTCCTCGCGGAGGTGTAGTACGCCAAACCGGTCGGCGACGAAGTCCTAGCTTCCGAAGAGGAAGGCCTAGGATGGCTCGAAGACGGGCGGAACCCACATCCCCATAGGTGAGAGTGCGGGAAACTCCAGTGAGGCGAAGCGAGTTGTATCGCTTGAGCCCGCCATGGCGACGGTGACAAAAAAGTGGGCCATCCGATGACCAAAAAGTTTGAACGTATAGCGTCTTCCCCACGAATGGCGCTAACTGTCGGTGCAGAAAGTGACCAACACGTAAATATTTGTAGTTTTGTTGTACGTTGTGATCGGAGGTGGCCTAGCACTCAATGACATAGGGTTTATACTGGTTCAGGCAACGTGCCCTATGTCCAGTTTGAGTCGGTCGGTGACTTTATTCCTGAGCCCAGGTGCTCGAAGTTTGCTGTGGGGTTACAAACGGAAGGGAGAAAGATGGGGGTACAAGAGGTCCGGTCGGATTCTGGTCTGAAGGGCCGAGAGTGACGGGAGCTTCGCTATGTGCTAAGTGTTTGAGCGTGTGCTCTGTATAACTTTAGAGTGTCTAAAGTTATAGAGGGTGAATCAATGTAAGTGAACTAAGGGATCCCTTTGTTGGGAGAGGGCGCATCCCCTTTTATAGATGAAGGAGACGGCCTTACAAGTGTGTGAGAGAGAATACATATGCTACTAAGTCTTGTTGCCTACACCGGCGGGTACCAGATAATGGTAGGCGCCCACAATACTGTTTAATGTCAGATGCACGTGGGAGGTTGCGTTGTCTTCTTCTGGTATGGCAAACGTCGGTGCCTGCCATACTGTTGATGCCTAGAGGCATGTAGGGGGTTTTACCATGTTCGCCTAGTATAGTAAATGCCGGCGGCCACAACACTGTTGATGCCTAGAGGCATGTTGGGGAGCCTTACCGTGTTTGTCTAGTATGGGAGTTGATGGCGCCCACAACACTGTAGGGAAAATGTTGGCGCCTACAACACTGCTTGGGTTCTGTCATACCAGGAAGGTCATAGGGTACTATCCTGTAGGTGCACATGGTACGGTCCTTGGTTTTACGGTTGACTTGAGTTCCCTACCTTACTTTCTCCGCCCGTTTCTGGTCCTTACCGAGCGGGCGTCCTCGATCGGTTGGTCCCAGTCGGCTCTGATTGTGCCAGTCGGAGTGGAGCTATGAGCAGGGGTTCGGCGCATCCCCGGTCGGAGACATGGGTTGGAGTCAAAAGTGGTGTTTGGCCAGGCCTTCCGATCTGAGAGGTCATCTGGAGGCAGGCCGGGGTTAGAAGCGAGCGTTGTTCCTCTTTAGCGAGGCCTTCCGGATGGAGAGGCGGCCGAAGTCGAAAGCGGGCGCCGTTCCTCTTTGACCAGGCCTTCCGATTGGAGATTGGATCACCCTTCTGGCCTGTCATTTAGGTATTTGGGCCTGCCCCTGAGTTTGCGCGTCGTTCGTAAGGTCGTCTGTTGGGCCGAGCCTTTATTGGGAAGCCGGTTCAAGAGAGACCCTAGGTTTATGAACCCGATAGTATTAAAAGGTCTCGCCTGACCCTAAGGCCATGGGCTCCTTCTCGCCCGACCTCGAGGCCGCGGGCTCCATCTCGCCTGACCCCTTGGGTGTGAGCTCCATCTCGCCCGACCCAAAGGACGTGGGTTCCTTCTTGCCCAAGGTCGTGGGCTCCGTCTTACCTGACCTCGAGGTCGTAGGCTCCGTCTCGCCTGACCCCTTGGGTGCGGACTCCGTCTTGCCCGACCCCAAGGACACGGTTTCCGTCTCGCCCAAGGTCACGGGCTCTGTCTCGCCTGACCTCAAGGACCCGGGTTTCGTCTTGTCCGACGGGGACCCATACTGTCGTCGACCACTCTAGGTCCAAGAGTATGGGCCTGGGTCAAAACTCTAATGCCAAAGAAGAGGCTGGCATGCCTCGATATAACCCATGGCCATAATGGGCCACACCTGGGGATTTACATCAAGAACAGTGTCGGGCGTGCCGGTGCTGTTCTGCCTAATCTTCGTATGGACGCTGACAGGCGTGTTAGTTCACCACGACGTTCGTCGGGACGGAGTGAAACGCCATGACCGGTAGATGACGCCTGCGCATGGCGCCAGTGACCAACAGGGCCACGACATGGAGCCGTCCTTGTTGACATCTACAGGATCGATGGGACCCACATGAAGAAGAAGAAGGACCCAACAACCCTGGAAGCCTTCTTCTCTCTCTCGTTCTTCTTTTCCTCCTCTGTAATCCGCGTTTTTCCTTCGCCTATAAAAAGGAAAGCAGGGCGCTCCATGAAAAGGGAGATCTGGACACAAGAGCACGACACGAGCACACGGCTGAGCGGCAAGCGAGCTCTCAGCACCCTTCACTCCTTCCACCGGAGACTTGGGATCCTCTCTCTCTCTCGCCTGTTTGTAACCCCTACTACAAACCAAGTGCCGGTAACACGAGCAGCAGTGAACTGGATGTAGGGACATTCTGTCCCGAACCAGTATAAACCCTTGTGTCCTCCGAATACACCATCTGAGCCAGACACGCAAATACAAATTTACTCGTCGGTAGTTCGAAAACACCGATGAGAAGATACACTAGATGAATTAGGGAGCTTCTTGCATATATGGCATGTGATGAAGGCAGGCTTCATTGGGATGATCGGGTGGAGGTTGCTAAGCATCGTCATGTCGGGGTAAAAGGGCCTCCGCAATGGTGGTTGGAGTGGTCTCTACTCGTTGTCTTGGAGGACGCCTCCACTGTAAGATATATTGGATGTGCGCCAGCGAACTATAAATGAATGATAACACAAAGAACCTTAGTGGGTGGCACTTGACATAGCAAATGAAGCCACATATGAGAGCTATGAAGATCTTGACGACAGGATGGTCACAGGCAGTTGCTCAAAGTCAAAGTAGGGTGGTGGAGCCTTTCTAGCCATCGACCCAAGCGAGGATGAGGTGCAATATAGATGCGATGTGGACAACTCGATCTAGGGCGACAGAGAATGAATCTAGGCCGAGAAGAGTAGGGGCATAACAATGACAGTGAAGGCGGAGGTGGTGAGACACACTAATAGACCTCGAAAGCTCAAACTCCGTGGCAACGATAGCGAAGAGTGGTCCACTAAATCCATGCATGAGGTTGGGTAGACACAACCAGGTGGAGGGGAGAAGGGCATTTATTTTATTGTCACTCACCTTACGCTCGTGACAAAACTGACGATGACAACAACGACAAGGCAGGAATGATGGGAGGAAAACAACGAAATTCACAAGTTATTCGAGACACGCACTAGCAGGATAAAAGTAGCAGAACTGTAGCCAGAGGAAGCATGACCCTCCCTCTTGGCTCCGGCAAGCTCGTCGGCGACGAAGAAGGGGAGAGGCCTATAGGATATGAGTATAGGAAATGTAGCAGAGGAAAGTTGGGTTACTTTGCGTGCTTTCTTAGCCTTCTACTTATATTGGCTAGGATGCATTTAGGCATGGACGTAATATGAAGAATGAGGCAAAAGGTTTTGCAATGAAGTTGTCATAAACTTAACCTAAACTTGGTATGTAGACTAGAAGATGTTAGATGGTTTTACATTTCGTGTTTAAGTCCCAACAGCCTCCTTGACTTTAGGTTCCGAGAATTCGTGGACACCCCAAGGACGTCAACGCAAAACACCCCGGAAAGAACCGAAGCGGGAGGGAGGGGGCGCCATCCAGCCAGCGAAAGGGGGGAGAGGAGAGGAGGAGAAGGCAACGGGAAGGGATAGCCTGTGCCGGGGCGCGTGGGCGTGGTGGGATTGACGGCAAAGCAAGCGGGGGCGCGAGCTGAGCGTGCAGAGAGAGGGAGAGATGGGAGAAATTACGCGTCGCCCAGCAGCAGCAGCAGCCAGCAGCACGAGCCCCAGCCGCCCGCCCGCCCGCCCGCCCACCCCCACCCGCGCCCTCCTCCCCCTCCCCGTCCTCACCCGCGTCATCCACCCGGCACCACTCTTCTCGTCTTCCCCTCCACCTCGTCACGCCGCACGGGCCCGGCCCAAATACTCTCGCCCTCGCGCTCTCGCCACAAACCCTAACCCTACCTCCCCACCGGCTCGCCGCCGCCGCCGGTCCGTCGTCGTCGGGCCACTCCGTTCAAGGTAAAGCTCCCCCGTGCGTCGCTCGCCGTGTCCCGTCCTCGGTCCTCCTAGGGTCCTTGCTCGCCGCCGCGGTTGCTTGTCGGGCTTTTCGTTTGCTCTCCTGTGCTTGCGCTGCTTGATTTCTCTCGGTGTGTGTGGGGTGGTGGGGGGTCGGGGGTTGGGGGGAGCTTGAGGGGTTTTGGGTTCGAGGTTCATTCTTCACGCCGCGGATCGCGGCTGCTCGTCGGCGTTCGCTGCAGCTCCCGTGCCGCTCTCTCGCGGAGGCTGCGAGTTGCTTCCTTTTTTTTTGGGCTCTCTCAGTTGGTGCTCTCAGTCGGTGCTCTCGCTTTCATGGCCGGCGGTTTGTTGGGCGATTATGTATCTCGGTTCATTCGTGAGGGATTTGATTATCCCACATACAGCTATGTTAGAGGGTCTATTTGGCTTATCGTCTGTCTGGTTGTTGCAACTTGATTCAGTGACATATATGAGGGGTTCATAAGGAATGAACGAATGATATATATGCTAGTTGTAATGCCGTGTTTGATACATGCAGGCAGCGGAGTTGGCTGGCACGAAGCTCACTTGGTCTGGAGTTAAGCGTGTGGTGTAATGGAGGGGCGCGGGAACCCTCCGCTCAACACCACTGATGCTGTGATCAAGAAGCCAAGGAGTGTCGCTTCCAGGAAGCCAAGGTCCACGGAGCAGCTCACCTCTGAGTACAATGGCATTTGCCCGCCGTCTCGGAGCGCTCCCCATGACGAGGACACTGGCGTTGAAGCTGGTGGGCATCGGAGGAAAGAGCTACACCTAAATAGCCCTGAAATGAAGGGCTCCACGGCTCATAGGAGTGACGTGCCCAGGAAGATAAGAAGGGATGATAGATCTGGAGGCGACCATGATGGCCATGGTCGGAGCAGCAAAACGAAGGATGCCGCCAAGCATGGAAGTGATGGTGCTCTTGCCCTAGAGTGCACAGCAAGAAACAATGGATCCCCTGATAACCCACAGTTGGTCCCCAGAGATGACTCTGTGCCTGGTGAAAATAGGCCGAGAAAAGTAAAGCTCAAAGTTGTTGGGATTAATCGAACCCTACATACCAAAATTGGCCAGGATGCTGGTGGCAGTGGCATTCCTGCCACGTCGGATGGCTCTATTCATCAGTACAAGCAAAAGGTTTGTTCAATGTGCTTGAGATCATAATGTACTTTCATATCTTCACTTATCACCCAGTTTTGTCCACTTAGATACTTTAGAGAATGTGTTCACCCCTCAGTTAATACTGGCATATTATTTTGGTTGAAGATTGGATACATACCAGAATGCCAGCAAAACTTTCTAGTTTTCTACATGTACGGCCAAAGTTTGCTGGCTCAGTTTAATGCTGTTAAACTTTAACTTTCCCAAACCTGTTTGATACACTTCCTCCCCTTTCCTTCTGTTTTATACAGCCCCTGTCTGTTTTCATAATCGATACCGTCCCCATCAGTGCAGCAATTCCTCATTCCTCTCGTGCGCCGTAAAGCCTATATCCTTCCCCATTCCTCTCGTGCGCCGTAAAGCCTATATCCTTCCTCTGGCTGGCTCCATCTCTGGTCCCGTGCTGGTTAACTCTGTCCATAGGGTCTTTGCTGCGCCCCTTCTAGGGTTCGCTTGCAAGTCTGCTGTGGCCTCCGCGCTGCTGCCACCACCAACGGGAGAGATGCCACGAGGCTTGTCGAGCAGGGGCGCAAGAGGGGGCCGTGGAAGGAATCAGGGAAGGGGCGGCGCTAGGGGAAAGGTGCGCAGGGAAACCCTGGTCTGGTCAGATCTGGTATTCCGCATCCGCCTCTTTTTTTCCCCCTTCGTAGAAAGATTGATCTTCGCTAGCAATCTATGGTGACTCGCATATTGAGGATCTGAAATTTTGGTGGTCAGGTCGGGCCAACACAGCTTCTATGTTTCAGATTTTAGTTATCTACTTATCTTTGCTCAGTATGGGTTGTCTGCAGGAGTCTGATTTTAATTTTGGTTCCATACTCATCATGGCTTTGCAAGTGAGTGGGTTTTGTACGGTGTCAATCCCCTTATCCTTTTCTTCTTAATATAATGATACTCAGCTCTCTTGCATGTTTGATAAAAAAATTTCTTGCTTTGCAATGTTGGCTTACTGTTCATACTACGATCTGGCTGACTTAAATTGTAATTGTAAGTTCGGATTCTTATTTCTACCAATTATCGAATATATATGTTCATTATTTTGCTGTTTATGTTTTCTTTTGTCATTACATAAGTGTTCATTACTTGCCGCCCTTTTTTTTTAAAAAGGATTCTGCTGGTCAAGCAAACAAAGATACCCATGGTAATCGTGTTGAAGGAAAATATGGCAACAGGCACGAAATTTCTCCGTCTTCTGACCTTGTTCGCAAGAGCAAAAGGATTCCTAAGAAGAAAACACTTGATGGAGATTCTGATGATGAAGATGGTGAATTGCGCTACCTGGAAAAACTCAAAGGGGCTAAAGTTGCACCAGATCCTGTGAACACTGGCCATGAAGCTTATGATTTTGGTGATGATGCTCTCAAGAAAAAGAAGCTATCCAAGCTTTCTAAAAATAAGAGCACCCCATATGAAGTGGACGAGGACTTCAGAATGTCTCGATCTGGCAGGGATGGTAGGAAGAAGTCGAATTTAGGGGATGACAATGAGTTTATAGAAGAGGAGGAATCTGAGATGGATGAAAAGAATGGGCTAAAGGAAGCTGATTCACCTCAAGATGTGAAGATTGAAACCCCTGGTCTTACAACAAGACAGCGAGCCCTTCAAGGCAGGGGTGGGAATGGTGAAAGCTTTATTGAATTTCCTGATGGATTACCAGCAGCTTCATCAAGAAGTAAATTCTTAGCTTATGTTTTGAGCTTTTTGTTGCATTTAACATTTCTGCTTCTGACAAATTCCATCACTAATTATGTTACAGGGCAAAAGGAGAAGCTCTCAGATGTGGAGATACAAGCCAAAAAAGCAGAAGCTGCGCAGAGGCGTAAGATGCAAGTTGAGAAGGCAGAGAAAGAACAACAGGTTTGCTTCTGTGCTTCTAGTTCAGAGCTTTATTTGCCAGTTCTTTTCTGTTGGGTGACCGTGATGCAATTTTACCACCTCAAACTGTACAGGCTGAAGCAATGAGGAAGATATTGGGTATAGATTCTGAGAAGAAAAAGGAAGAGAAGAAGCTGAAAGAACGGGAAGAGAGGGTACAACTTCCTATTTGATATCACGACAGTATCTGCATTTCCCTATTTGCTATCATGGACTTATCTTTGCATTCTCTCTTTTCCAGGAAAAACAAGCAATATTGGAAGAATACAGGAAAAACTGCGTCCGGACTGTCATGAGCCCAACTGGAACTGTGATTACATTCCCTGAGAGTATGGGGCTTCCGAGCATATTTAACTCCAAACCTGTCAGGTTACGTTGATCACTAGTACTTATCTTTGTTCATTTAGTCATTTCAACTGCAGCTCTGCAGGTTTATTCTCCTCTTGCAGTCTTAACTTGTGATTGATTCCCTTCTACCTGCTTGATTTCATTTCATCAGCTATCCGCCTCCAAGGGAGAAGTGTGCAGGCCCATCGTGCACAAACCCATACAAGTACCGCGACTCCAAGACGCTGCTCCCTCTCTGCAGCCTGGCGTGCTACAAGGCTGTCCAGGGCTGTCCTCCTGCCCAGGGAAGTGAAGGTGGCCATGGAAGCAGTGCTGCCCAAGGGAGTGAAGCTGGCCATGGAAGCAGTGCTGCCCAGGGTAGCGATGCTGGCCAGGGAAGTGTCCCTACCCAGGGAACTGACGCTGCCCAGGAAAGTGCTGGGAAGCAAGCATGATGAATCTAGTTACCTGACGTGATTCAACCGTGACCGTCAGTTGGCTGGAGAAGTGTATGTCGACATGGCCAGCTCGCTGGTGTGTTGTTTTCTTGGTTTCCTTTGGTAGTAGTCTAACAATCAACCTGACAAAAGATGCGGTTTTTCCTTGTGCCCGTGGTAAACCAAGCCGGGCTTCGTTATGGTGGATCGAGTTTAAACTTATGGTGACATGGTGTGGTCGGTTCGGTGTATGGGACTAGTCGAGAAATATGAAGAAAAAAAAAGTTGTACAGCAATCTTGTGCTTGCGCGGTTTGTTTGGAGCTGTGGCCTTGGTCGTGCGAGACCTCGAGCTGTGGCCTTATTTCGATATTTAGCTGGTGCGTGGTGGTGTAGTGCTCGCTTGCTATGGTGTACGATGCTTGTGGTGAGCGGCCATGGGCGCTGCCGAGCTTGTCTCATGGTTCAAATTGGTTTGGTTGTAGGCCTGTGATGTTGATGCTGCAATTGACAGCAAGGTCGTGTTGCCTGCGGTGGTTTGGTTGTAGGCCTGTCATGTTGATGGTGCAATTGACTGCAAGGTCGTGTTGTCTGCGGGCAGGTCGTGTTGCTTGCGGGCTTCGTCAGAGGAAACAAGCTCTTAAGTGCTCAACATGTCCCTTTAAATTTAAACCCGAGTGCAGGATCTCTCACAGATGACACCCAGGCCGTTCTAAAAAACATTTGGAAAAACACTTCTTTACCGCCAAAAATCAAAACTTTTTGCCTGGCGTCGTCTTCGGCATGCTCTAGCAACAGCAGAAAGAGCAGGTAGATATTAAAGCCACATCGATACAGCCTGCAGCTCTTGTGGCTGAACTGAAACAGACAGACATCTGTTCTTTGATTGTGATTTCGCCAGAGCTTTTTGGTTCTCCTCAGACCCGCTTCTAAGAACTCATCTTCTTCCTCAGGACCAAGACGGGGTGCAGGAAGCAATAGCTGCAATCCTGCCTCAAGATTCTACACCAGAAAGAATACAAAAATTCTTCACTTCCCTCTGCTACTTGTGGAAAGCAAGGAATGACCTCAGGTTCAATAACAAAAAGTGGACCATTCTTAAGGTTCATTATGAAACGAATGCAGACATCACTGTTGCCACAAACCTTTTGCTGGCAGAGGATGATCCTGCATATACAGATCAACAACAACAGGTTCCATCAAGGCGCCCAAGGGTATATACCATCCCTGCGCTTATTAGTGGCCCCAGATGCTATGTAGACGCTGCAATCAATCCGGATGGTGGAGGAAATCCTCCAAGATCTGCAGGTATTGGAATCTGCACTTCCACCCATCTCCAAAGTTCCAGCTATTTATTCAGGCTCGGATGCACAGCTCTACCTCTGTTTCGGTGGCTGAAGCAGGTGGTTTAGCTCTAGCAGCGAGATGCTGCAGGCTCAATCTTCAGGAAGTGTCCTTTTCAGACAACGAAACTCTGGTCAACATTATAAATGACAGGTTCCAGAGTTCTAAGCCCTGGTCTATGAAACCTTTTAGATTTTTTTTTAATTTTAACACTTTTTCAAAACTAATTTAAAATCTAATACTCTCGATTTTTTTAAAACTAACACTTTTGGCCGCGTCTATTGCCCTGGCGCGGCCAAATGCATGTGCCGCGCCATGTATGGTGGCGCGGCAGAGGGCTGACGTGGCGACAACCCGAAGTCATGACCGGCACGACGTGGCGGGCTCTGCACGCCACCGACCTTGGCGGCAACAATGCCGCGCCTACGATCCGTGGCGCGCGCGGCTAAAATAAATACCAATGCTGTGAAACCTTGCCCGCCACACGCGCACCTTCTCCCCCGCCCGCCGCCACTTGCACCACCACCGCCACATCGCCAGCGCCACGCCACACACGACGCCGCCTCGGCCCCGCCCATACTCGCCCATACCCCACGCCACGCCCACACTCCCCCACAGCTGCAGCTTTCCATGCTGCCAAGGCACCACAACGCCGGCGTCAAGTCCGCCCGCTCCTAAGGTACCTCCCTCTCGATTTCATATATTTTTTATTATTATTGATTTAGGATAATTAGTGATTTAGGATAGTTAGTAATGTAGAATAGTTAGGGTTTTATGATTATTATTAATTTATGAATGTTAGTGATTTTGGATAGTCAGTGATTTTGGGTTTAGGGATTGATTATGTATTTAGTTTATAGTTAGTTATTTAGTTAGGGATTTTTGGTTTAGGATTGAATTATGTATTTAGTTTATAGTTGTTTGTATTTAGTTAGGGTTTAGGGATTTTATGGATTGATTATGTATTTATTATCTAGTATAGTTAGGATTTTGGGTTTAGGGATTTAGGATAGTTAGGTTAGTGAATTTGTTTGTGAACTTACTAATGTTAATTTTAATTTTGTTAATTTGAATACTCTAACGCTCTGTTTATCAATTTGTAACAGTATGGCCCCTCCTACGCAACACCCGTTGTATTCCCATTCTTGAGGTGGAGTACGACGACCAGCATCGAGCACACATCTTGAGTGACACCGACGCAGAGGTGGTCTTGCCTCCTTTGAGGCCTCGCACGCACACCAGGGCGCACCAGTGGGACGAGCGTTATGCGCCGTACATACGGCGTGCCGGCTTCCTCGAGCTTGTCTGTGTTGTCAACCACGGTCTTCCGCCCCTTGACCCAGCACTACTTACTGCAGCTGTAGACAGGTGCGAGTACATTCTTTGTACGTAAACTTTCTTGTAACAAATTTGAGACAACTAACAGTCGTTCTATTCTTATAACAGGTGGAGGCCTGAGACCCACACGTTCCACCGACCTTGTGGTGAGATGACCTTGACGTTACAGGACGTGAAGGCTATTTTAGGCCTTCGGTTGGGGAGACTTCCAGTAACAAGATAGTTGACAACGATCACTGGAGGGAGCTGGTGGCTCAGTTTACTAGTTTTCTTCCACCAGACGACGATGCTTCCAAGAAAAATAAGTGAGTAATTCAAGCCTATTTAATACTTGCATTGCTTTCCTACAGCCATGGGGTCTCATTTTCTTTGGTCAATTTCAGGAAAAGTTCCAATGTTTCGTCGTCCTAGATCACGGAGCGCTTTGATTACTTGGACCCACAGGCTGAGGAGGCTCTGATCGACAGGTTCGCTCGAGTGTGGCTCTGGCACTTTCTTGGTGCTTTCCTCTTCCAGACGCCTCGGACAACACCATCACCGGATCTTCCTAGACATACTTCACCAGCCGTGGGAGAACATAGCGGCGTACAGCTGGGGCACCGCAGTCCTGGCATGGACGTATCGACAACTATGTGTTGCCTGTCGTCGCACCTCAAGCTATGCGAACCTTGGGGGTTGCTCCTATCTACTCTAGGTTTGGTATTGGGAACGATTGCCCGTTGGGAGGCCCCTTAATAATGGTTTACCGGTAAGTACTTCGGTTCATTATATTCTTTGAGGCAGTTAGATATGATGAGATTATTAGTGGCTAATTCATTATCGTGTTAAATGCAGCAATGAAACGGGCATGATACACTCCCTACAACTCTGTATATCTGGACGGAAGCACAGTTAGTTAGAGGGAATGTGTGGCACAAGTATAGGGAGTACACGGACGGTCTCGACGTCCTAACACAGCACCAGGTTACGCTCTCTTTACTATCATACATGTGTCTTCTTCGATGTACACTATATCACAACCTAACTCAATTACGAAATTTTAGGTGCATTGGTGTCCTTGGGATTCTCCGGAGCTCCAGGCCTATCTCAGTCCTGTCACTAGGGACGAGTCACACGAGTATTGCTGCGACGTCCCTCTTATTTTCTTCCATGTGGTCGAGATTCACTTGCCCATCCAGGTCTGCAGACAGTTTAGGAGAATGACAGGCTGCCCACCACCGCTTTACTCCACCAACCAAGAATTGCACGGGTGCGTTATCAATTAATAACAATGCTACAATTCAAAGATTTGTTTGGTACAACTAACATTGTTTTGTTGCAGGTATGACCGCAGGAAGAGGTACAAGACCAAGGATTGACGCGTGACACACAGCTCGCGGATCCATTTGTGGCAGAACAGGGTACCACATGCGGTCCTTGAGGGTCCTCCACACGACCAACGCACCTTCGACGAGTACCTGCGGTGGCTTCACAGGTCTACGAGGACACATATCAAGCCCCCATACACTGACGCGGCGATTGACGAGGACTCGGAGGAAGATGTCATCGAAGATGTGTACGACGTTACCACTAGGGAGGACACACAGCTACAGAGAGCCCCGTTACAAAGATACGTGGTAATATACTTGAATGGTACAACTTGTTAACATTTTGGTATTAAGTATGTCTACTAAAACTGTCTAACCACGTTTCTGTACCCAGGCGACACAATTGTCAAGGCTGTCCAAAGAAGCAGCGTTCCGGCTACACGAGTCTAGAGGGCAGGGGCCAGGCGTTCTCGTGGCTTTTGTGGAGGTAAACATAAACTTGTCCATTCCGAAAATGTTTCTTTAGTGTATATGCGTTTGGGTAATGCACTAACTTTAACGTCTATTTATGCAGAAGGTGAAGAAGAGCTACAGGAAGCTAGCTCAGAAGCTGAGCTGCATGGACACTCCTTATGAACCGCCACTCCCGGCGCGGTCGGGTGGCACGTCATCAGCCTCTTTGAGGACACCAGTCGGCTCTTCTCAGCCGATGACAGGTGCCACTTCCGCAGTGCGTACACCACCACATCATAGCGCTGGGAAGGACCCTGCAACCGAGGACGACGATGACGACGACGACGACCCCCCGGGCTTCGGCGGACAACACAATCAGTGGGACGATTGGTCGCAGGACGAGATCGGCATATCTCAGCTTGGTGGTGCCCCGCTTGGCACCCAAAGAGCCTCACAGGTACTAACCACGATAGTTTGTTTCAATACGTAGGCTCCATGAACTAACGATCATAAAGAATTATAAGTAATCGTGCCTATCATATACTTGCAGGGTACGAGCCGTACGCACCGTCGACGT